ATCCGTTTTGCCGGACCAACAGAGGTCACATAATAATAATTCAACAGTATACCTCTAACCCACTACTTATACCCCTCCCGTGTCTCTAAAGCACCATGGACTGCTAGAAACAAATAGTAAATGTGAATTAAATGATTACTGAAATACATTAGTATAGGTATAAATTATACAGGTTTATTAGTACAGTATAAATGAAAAAAGTTAATTAATTACTGTACTTACAAAGAATGTTGCAGTAGTACCACTTTCAAAGTGGCAACTTTTAGAATTTTACTGATATTATTATTGTTATTTTCAAGTACGTTATATTTTACGTTTTCATACACTATTATCAACATACTGTGTTGTAAGAACATTGAAGAAAAAAATCGAAACTAAATATTCTTGGCAACATTCATGAAAAAATTCAAGCAATTTGATCCAATTAGTTTAATATTTATAAGAAAATTTTCACGAGAGTGATGTACCTACTTAAAATGCAAGTAGCCCGTACCGAAAGAACACGCACCACACGCAATGCCATCTGTGGGCACCCAATGAAGTAGTCTGTTGATTGTGGAAATTTCAAGTGCGCTCTCATAGTTTTGTTCAGATTGAAGGAGATGCCAGACAATAAGTTGCCAGAAAATTGTTGGTTTACTGAATAACTGTCGTTTTGCCTTATGACTACTCTCTTCAATTGTCTGTTGGTGATCTTCCAGGTTGGCAGGTGGACCACACCCCACACTTTCATTATACATTACTTACTTTGAATACCAATTGCTGCCCATTTGCCATACTACACCCCTCAGTTCAACTTTGAATGGGTAACCTTTCTTTTAATTTATTTCCTTCTCTTACAGTGGCCCTATGCTTCATATCGAATCATGCTCTGTAGCGAGTGATGCCTATCCAGGTATACTATTCGGTTGGGAAGCTCCCATCCTACCACCTCCTGGATGTCAATTACTAAGTTGTCTGGTTTTTGATGAGAGTTGGATCATCATGTAAATATGTAAATCAGCATGTAATGTGACAACCACAGCTAACGTAAAGTCACTGTAAAATATGTATTAAAACTAAATTTGGAATATATATATGTGATAAAGATTTATTTTCTTTTTTTCACCAGAATCTATGATGTAGAAGCCTAATGCATTCGACAAAAATGTCAGAACATTATTCACATACCTAAATTAATTTAGGTTACTAACGGTGAAGTAAAATGGACTGAAAACCCGACAGATATTATTTTTAATAGTTGTTTGTTTATAATTAGTGTGATGTCACAAGTCACAAAAAATTATCAGTTTTCTTAATGGTATGTAACAGCCCTTTCTATTGCAAAATATTCATGCACATAGGTCATAAACATATGTTCAGAGTGGGAATTTAGGATTCCAAAGATAGGGATATCCCTTGTACTTAATAAAATTGAAAAAGAAAGAAATATGGTTCAACATGGATCATCCAGATAGAAACCTGCAACAAGTCATACCCCAGCTGTTGTAAGCAATGTGGCATCTTGTAACTGGTTATAGTCCACAAATTCAAAGGGTTATTGGCAAAATTCATCCACTTGTAAACAACATAATCTAGAAGGATCTCTGTTGGGAAGCAAGGCCAAAAGGGTTTGGGTTCACCAAGATATAGACTGTAATGGCATGGTGAGGCTCCATAATCATTGTGAAGTATTCAACCCTCTGTAAATTTGACATTTTTTAAAGAGTATCACTATTTATTAATTTACTCCTTGGAATTTCACAATAAGCCCTGTTATCATTGTTCTCTAAGTCAAACTAAGTTCCAGTAAATCCCATTATACCACAGTCTTTCATTTCAACTTCAGCTCTGATATTCCTAACATTAGAATAGCAACTGAAAGTACTTTTGAATCTATTGTTTATCTTTAAATCTACAACTTGTGTTTAAAGCTATTATTTAATATATGCTCTAAATTTAATTTTTTACAATCTTGCTCCTGTCTAGCTATACTATAAATCTGTTTATTCCAAATTTCACTTTCCACTATGCAAATTTAGTTTAATTTATTTATAGTGTCTGTCTGTAGAAGTTATCTAAACAGTTTATTACCTCGCCTGCTTAAATAGAACCCATCTCTAGCATATAATTCACCCTTACTTTGCAACAACCCACTTGGTACTCTAAGTGTTCCTTGTAAATCTTTCAGTTAAGGCTTATATGTTGCTAAGTAACATCTTCCTGCATCTAGCCCAAAGTAGCACTTCCCAAAGGGTCATACATCTGTTTCCATTCCTAAAACTCCGAATTTGCTCTTCTTATTTAAAATGTCCAACATCATTTACTCCTACAGACACTACAGAAAAAATAATACACCTTAATAGAAGCAACCAAACTGTCATTGCACAATTACATCATCCTATATTGAAGACCTATTAAGCAAATTCAGGTTGTAGTCTTTTAAAACAGTTTCACACTACTTTTGGAGTGGAATATACTCTGTCAATGTAACTTGATATAAAGTTTTCATTGTCCTTGAAGCAGTGCAATATGTGCATCATCCCCATCTGTTTAAATTTTTTCATAGCTATGGTTATAGATAACTTTCTCAGTGCCAGGATTTTTCTGGATACACATTAAAAACAAAAAGACATGTTTTAATATTTCAATTTATGTCTGAAAGCTGAAACTGGTAAAATTTGATAAACTTGAAGGGAAATGCCCTCTCTTTATGGTGGTGCAAAATTCCAAACATTCACAGTAGTGTTTTAGAGGGAAATATGTATGTACCTATGGTACTGAAAGAGTTAAATGTCACTGGACACTTGTTGAGCTTTACCTGTAATAATCTACTATTATAAGAGATTTTGTTATACTGTTGCAACATGTGTGTGTGTGTGTCAAAAAATTATATGTACTAGCAGAAATGCCACCTTATGGGTAGATATTTGTACCAATAATTACTAATTGTAGTATTCATACTTAATTGAAATAAATGTTTAAAAAGTGAACATTGTCTAATAATGGATTTTTCTGGGAAGAAATGCACCAGAAAGGTGTTCAGATTGTGCTGATATAAACTGTAATGGTTTTTATATATTAAGTGGTACCCTTTATTTTTTGTACATTTTAAGATATTTAACATATTTCATTCATTTATTTATTATCTCCTTTGTTATATTGATCTTTAACAGTTTCATTAGAGAGAAAAATACCAAGAAATTTGGTATGTTTTTGAAGTCTAATACTTCAGATTTTGACAATGAAAATTGTAAAGGAACTAACTGCTATCTGTACTACCACTAAATTGTTAAATCTTGCCATGATTCATGTTTTGGAACAGAAGCTAATGGATTTCTAGCAATGATTGTAGTGAAATATAATCATTTATACTGTAAATAAATTGGTTTAATTTGTGTGATAACTTGACTTTTTTTTTATAATTTATTCAGAAATCAGGATGTGATTTTCCATGAAATATTTTAATATGGTTGTTAATTATTTTTATGTTTTAGCAAATCCTGCATATAATGACTTGTACTGTAATTATCTGCCAAATAAACTACTATTAAGGTGTATGTACACTGATTTTTTTTAAAGAATAATTCCCGCTTATTTTCAGATAACAAGAGCTCAGAACCAAGCAAACCCCAAACAAAGGAAGTTGTTGGAAAGTATAAAGTACCAGAGTATTATAATCACAATGAATGGAGTTTCAATGATATGATGATTGATATGGGAAAATATTGGCTACCTCAGCCTTCTAGTAAGAGGCTTAACTAACTGTCCTTCATACAAAAAGAAAACTGTAATGAAATGAATTAAAAATTGGGTTTTTTTTTGTTCTTATAGATATGTTAGTATTTAGCGAAACTGATGCTGCTTTAATTTATGTGAATTAAAGTTGTGTAGTTTTAATAGATAGACTTGTAAATAGAAATAAAAATTGTGAACAATAATACAGACTGTTTCAGCATGTGAATTTTTGTACAAGTAAATATCCTGACAGTTTTTTTTTTATGAAATGTTTTATGAATTATTTGTTTGGCTTATGGTTCTTTATTACATTTGTTTTTGTAAACTAGGCTTTATCAATTACACTTAAAACTTGCAAAAGTAAAATAATACTGAATTATGATAATACAAAAAGGTGCCTAGTTAATAATATAGCTACCAGCAGTTTCTTGAAGTTATTTCACAAAGGAAGATTTGTGTAATCATTTCAATATACCACAAAACAAGCTTTTATTAAAAACTGGTTATATGACTGAAAACCTTTTTATCTGATGCCTTGGTATACACTTTTAATACAAAGCCACATAAATCATTGTGAGTTAATGGTGAATAAACATGGATAAATCTTATTATGCTATCTACTGTGAGAACTAAAACCATGAGTGGTTCTATGTCTATCTCTTGACCATAAAGTCACTTGCTAAACATTGTGATCTGTCACTTTTGTACGTGTATTGAGGATTTTGAAACTTGTGTCAGTATTCTTTTCAGGATGATAAAATATATATGGAACCTTAAAGAAACAGTTTGAAATATTTGTTTATGACAATTACTGAAGTGGAATGTATATTTTAAACAAGCATCTTTCTGATTCCAGAAAAAACTCCTGCATCATTAGTAAGACCACGTGATATTTTGTGCATATTTGCAACATAAGAATCATGCTTATTGATTTTATATTGCTTTAAATAAATCTTTTAATATTATCCTTCATAAGGTATTATCATAATTGCAGATGATCCAACAGACACTAATTCAGAATAGCTTTTTTTCAGTAAATCTGAACTGTAATGGTCCTTCAGAACCAGCAGTGATGCAAATCTATTTTATTGCAATTTATACTGAAACTTAGATCATTTGCAGAAAAATTAAATGTTACATGCAGTTAAACATAAATAGCAAAAAATGAACAGATTAATATCTTGATATCTCTTTGATATGTTCAGTGATAGATAATATATATATATACTGTAATAGCATTCCTACTACTAATACTACATCTGTTGTATCCCTGCTCACCTGTTGAACTACATTACTGAATGAAACGCATTGCTGGCAGTGGATGAGACAGACATAGTGTGGTTGAAATACTTTCATATCCTCTTCTTTTGAAAAAACCTTAAGGGACTGGATAAAGAATGTAGTGTATAAAAATACAATAAGCCTAGCACTATTGTCTTACGACAGATGTAATTGAATATATGTGATTTGTAAACTCGTTGTGCATCAACAGTGAAATTTTACTATTTTTGACACTGTAAAATGTTTTGCACATTTTCTATTACATACTCAAAATCAGAAGGAAGGCATTTACTAATAAATCAAACTAAAATTTAATTAAAGTTAAAAAAATTAATTAATCTCACTTTATGAATGACAAACAGTAATTAATTATTAAGAAAGGTTATAATTCCAAAATAGAAATCTTTCAAACAAACAAAAAAGAAATATGTAAAAAAAAACTATCAAATCAAAACAGCAACTGCTGAATCAGGTAAACTTTAGATTGAAAACAAAACTAGTAGTATATTGTAAATTTATATATTGTGGATTTTGAAACTTGTGTCAGCATTCTTTTCAGAACGATGAACTACATATGGGACCTAAATAAAAAGTTTATCTATATATATCGGTGTTGAAGGTCTCGAGACCACCCTTCGGAAAGTCTTGGACTATTTGGGTCTCATAAACGAGACTGGCTAAATTTCAAAGTTTTACCAGTATTTAGACCTACACAGAATTATTAAATGCTAAATACCAATTATGCAGCAGTTCATACGAGGTGCAGTATAACATCAAAAATGTTTTACTAGTAAAACCCCTTGATACTTTTGGTACTACACCTTTGTAATAATATTTATAGTGTTCCCCTTGTTTTTGCTTACGTCACCAACTGTCATACTACCTGTACGTCAGTCCGCAGGTATAACGTGCTATTCAAAAATAATTGGTACTATACATTGCATTAAATGTAGGCTTACTACAAGTTTGTATGAACTTCATCTGGTGCACGAATTTATGTTAAATGTTAGCGATTATCCCTGATATTCAACATGTCTAGTAGATCTGCTGTGTTTGGCTTCAAGGATCATAAAGAATTCAATGACACCTTAAACTCTTGAATAACAACAACAGTTTTTCTTTTGTTTTATATGCTGACCTTTTTGATTTTTTAATTTATTAATTCATTTTCTTTTTGTTTTTTCATTGTTCTTTTTATTGGAGAAGATGTTAAAACAAAGACTGTGGGGTAAACGTTTAAAAGATTTGCAGTTAAGATGTTTGTTTGACTCATGATTTTTATTATTTTTGCTTTATTTTTTCTTGTGTAATTTATTACAAGGTCTTGGTCTCAGACACTGAGGTCTTGACTACAACACATATATATATATATAAACACACACACACACACACTTAAAAATTCACTACTTTCTTTAAAACTTTGAAGAATAAACCTTTATGTGAAGAAAGTTAGTAATCTTTAGAAATCCAAACTGTTTTGACTTGAATAATTATCTTCATAATGAGACTCCATTTTTTCTGGTAAGACAAGGTAGAGTGTTATTATTACAGAAGGAAACCCTAGCTTGACCTTTATGTATTGGTAGGCAAAACCTAAGTATGGAATTTCCTATATAGCTTTTGATATCATTAAGGTATAAATAATTATCCAACTGGCCATCTGTGATAGTCAAATATAATGTCATTAATCACTTAAGGTATTCTTTTTATTTCTCTGTTTAATGGTAGAATCATCAGTGCTGACTGATCTGGTTTATAATTAGTTTGTTCAAACACAACTGCACAGTGGCAGACCTGCTATGAGACTACCACAAGGATGTAATCCCAAATACTAGTTTTAAAATCCCATATGCTTACCAGGAGGCTGGCTTATTGAAAGCATGGATGTTTTCTGAGAAACTGAAGGTGATACCACAGCAGCACCAAACAACTGAAGCAAAGTATAAGTTTGTATTATCTTTTGAGAATTTTGATGGTAATAAGTTACACCTTGTTGTTTATATACATCACACAAAATGCCTATATTAGGAACGACTATATGACCCAAATTTTTAGGAACAATTCTGGGAGAAAATGACTCTGATTTGTAAAGAATTGTCCCGAAATAGTCTTAAGTTTAATTCCTTATATTTATTGTGGAACCTACAACAGAACAACATTAGAAGTAAACATTCAGCCATTTAGTTTTATTTGTTTATTAGTTTAGTTATAGCATCAGCATGTGATGAAACTAGTGAAATTGCCATATCTGCAACCTTGAATATGTCACAGAACATCTTCCTGTTTCTTTTTAAGAACAAAAAACTTCCAAAACAGCTACACCCATCATAGATATACAACTGTCACTAATACAGTAAGCTTCTCCAGTACTGCCAGCAAATGAAGTTATGGTGACTACAAGTAAACATTTTTATACACGTATTCCAAGTTTTGGTTTACAAAACTTGGTCACCTTAACGTATATAAAAGTTGAAACATCGTTTAGTTCGGGCTAATGCCAATCACAGTGAAACAAATTGTGCACAAACTTTTCGTTTTTTACTAATCTTAAGAAAAATGTGTGTCAGATTTAGGGGATGCTTACAGAGGTATGAAACTTGAATGCTTTAATCACAGTAACTTTTTTTTTTTCTAACAACAGGCCACATTTTATTTTAGGGTGAGCACAATATAATATGTAAATAACATGTATTTTATACTTACATCTAATAATATGTGAGTGTCTAAATCATTGATTATTTAGTTTCCACACTGTCTTGGCAGCAACACGAAGTCCAAGGTGTCTAATATTATCTTGTTCTAGCTAACTCAGTCCTTTGTTCTTTTATTAGATGACATTTTCTGCTCACAAGGATATTTCAGTGTGTATCTTGAGGTTAGGCTAAAACTGGTTAGTAGTGGAATATTCTTTGTTGGCTGAAGTATGATGTTAAGTTAGCTGAATGTGGTAGTTGATCACTGATGTCAGGGAATAGAGGTTATGAGGTAATGTTGTCCACTGGACAAATAAAGCAAGTTCGTGTTTGGAATCCAAGCATGTTCTTTGTGTACTTCCAGTTTTTTGGAGAGAAAACCTTTTAGAGTTCATTTAATGTTGAGGTAATCTATCGTGCAAGAAGTTTTAGATATATTAAC